TTTTCTGTCTGGATTCCAAATCTTAGCTTACCCGGTATGCTAAGAAAATGATAACCTATTTGAGTAAAACATTTGTTGGGCAAACCATCATGAATTGTTTACGCCTTTATATTGTTTATGTATCAATAGTTCGTGGCCTTTTTTGGATTGTTGTGTGTATGTCTGTTGGTAACGCATTAATGTCCTTATTTCTCAGTGTTTCACGGAATGGACAAGAGCACCTTTGATACTGAAAATGTCAACCGGAATAAAGTGTTAAATGGTGAGGTTGAGGTAGTACTTTAAATACGTTTAAGTTAACCGATGTGGAAAGTAACTTTCAATTATAGGCCTACTTTAGGGCTACGCTTCGTGGATCTATAAAACATTTTTTTAGTTTAATCATTGGACATATGGACCATAACGATCCGGGTGACATTTAATTTCGAAGCATTTATTTTGGCTTGAACTGTCAGATACTGTATTTGCGAAGGTTTATATATAATAGTATTGCCAGCATATCTGCAAATGTGCAAACTAACTGCTGTTCTTAATTTTAATATAAGAAGGTTTCAACTGACTACTATAAGATCCCCGTGCGTAGAACGGGCACACAGCTAGTATATATATATAGAACTATATATATGACATATGTTTGGGCATTTAAACATGTAATGAAAAGTTTTCGTTTCATTGTCGGTAAAATTTAGTTTTTAGTTTTTACTTTTTAGTACATTTTTTGTATTACAACGTATATCTAGTAAAACTGAGTACATGAACACCACATTATAATGTAAAGCGCTCCACGAAAGTATGGTGCAATTTGTGTATTCCACACTCCAAACGATATGCAAGCAGTGGATACTGGTCATCATAAAATACGATATGCAAGCTGTGCTTACCACCCACATAATATATAAAACTATATGCAATGAGTGCACTTTGCACATCTCGTTATCAAGGCAATGTGGAATTTGTAAATACGCTGTAAGTGCTCTGAACATGCCTTTTCAGCAAGACTATTTGCATTAGGTTTATAAAACAAGGTATGCACAAAACACGAGTTTACGCAAGACAATATGCAAAGTATTCCTAGGTTTTCACAGTTGCTAGCGATGGATGACACTATAAGACTCCTCAGAATAGGTTATTCAAGATTACCCACAAGTCTTTATCAAGCAGTGCACAACTCTTCTACTCTTCATCATGAGAAGTCGCTGATCTATGCTAATTGCATCCAAGCGTCATGCAAGTTTTGCATACCACTGGCGTCCTCAGCAAAACGATATGCAAGCAGGCACAACTCGTTATCAAGACATTAACGTTGTTAACAAGCACCAATAAGTGAGTGGTAGCCACTTTCCTTGTTAACAAAACGCTATGTAATATGTTCATAAGCCCCACTCCTCATAAAGAGGTTGTACACATTTTCAACAAAACGATATTCGTTGTCAAGTTTTCCACAGTTGTATTGAATGGTTTAGGATGACACTACACTAATATTCAAGCAGTATACTTCTTATCAAGGCAAGTCGTTCGAAAGATTTACGTTTATTGTATTCAAACATCATGCAAGCATACGACAGGCTTTCTCAGTCAATCGATATGTAATCAAGTTGTATCATTCAATTCGTATAAAGACAATATTAACATTGTAACAAGTACTAAGCAATGAGTGCTCACCCTACGCCTTTTGGCCAAGACGATTTGCGATTCCGACTCTATACAGCGAGGACACACCATCCACTTCCTCAAAAAGATTTTGTACATTTTTTCCACAAGTGTTATGCAATGCACACCGAGCAATTCTTCAGCCAGATGATATGCAAGTTAATCGCAAGACTTATGCAAATTGCGTGCAAGCATCATGCAAGCAGTGCACCGCACGCCAGGGTGTCCTCGTGCGAATCTGTGGTAATTTACAGCCTTCAGTGATTTACACCTCATTATTTATTGCCTCGCAATCCTTCTAATAGAAATAATTTGGGATTCAATTAAAATTTGGTGTGAACTCCGCGACTCCGTTAGAGCGCCTGATATTTATGTGTCCGTTCTCTAATTAGGCAGTTGTCCAGGATTAGCCACGTCTCTGATGTAATGATTTACAATTAATTGTCCGATTGTTGTTTAATTGGAATCGTTTTGTACTATGTTGCTTTAGTGATGTCTGCAGTGCAATGCGAGATTGGATAAGATTGTTTAACTAATTTTTAAGATTTTGTGGTACGTAGATCTTTCTGGACGTTATTTTTCGATATTACAACACAACAGACAGGTGACCACGAATGAGATTTGGAAGTTTACATCCAAAATTATATTCAACACATACTGACTACTTGATGCAATGATTTGAAATACATTGTCTGATTTTTTTGTTGGAATCTGCTCGGCGTTTAATATTATGTAGTTTAAGTTATATTAATTTCCGGCGCAACTCCCGAGTTTGGATGGCAATTTTTAACTAATATACTATAAAAACAAACAGTTTGAAGATTTGCTGCTATGTGTGTCTTTCTCGTTTTTCTTTTTCGATGTTAAACCACATCAGGAAAGGGATCCACGAATAAGATTTTAGGCTGAAAATAGTTACTTATTTGATAAGTTTATGATATGCAAACTATTTCCTGTCTTAACCTTTGACGTGAGTACAGTACCCCCACAAAGTAGATATCCCTCATAGTTTCATATCTATAATGACGCCGGCGAGTTAGGAATATTAAGAGGACGGCGGCAGAGATCTGAACTGTGGAAATATCCGATTTCATCGCCGCCCCAAAGGTACGTGGCGCCGTTTTAAACAAACAAAAAAGTTAATTGTTCACTAGACGGTGGTTGGATCTCGATTTCAGAATTCACCCTAGAAATAGGAGAAAGCCAGAGTTAAAACCCCTTCGCAGTCAATAAAGTCAGTGTAAAATTATATGGAATAGCCTATCTACGTGCATCACGGTGTAGACACGTATTTTTGACTACCCATACAGTTTCTAGAAAGATAGTAGGATATATTTAAACAAAATTTAAGCTATACTGTTCTATATTCTCGTATTATGTTTTAAAACGTACATCAGTATTCCATGTCAACATACGTTATATCAATATTATCGACAAAGCTTTGTTATTCAATCTCATTCAATTGTTCTCTCAGTTGCATCGGAATACACCTTGGATACTGCAAGTATATTTCTTGTAACATTTGTAACATCTTGTAACATTTCTTCTAACATCCTAAAATCTAAGACCTGGTGTTAATGTGTGTTCCATCTAAATATTTTTTGTACTTTAAGGTATATCTTACCATTTGACCTTTGCTCTTTGGCTATGATATCTAGGAACAAACGACAGTTCATCAATTTACTATGGCATTAGTATTCAAGCTATTTAACATGAAACGAAACTATCAAAAAATAAAAACGCCCTCCATATAATACAGCCAGTACTAACTAATTAATTGTCTTCAGCTGATCCATAAAGATGACAAATCTACAAGAAAGAACAAGTGTGTTTGATACGAAAGCATTGCCTTGTCAGGATCCTTATTGAGTCCTCAACCGCTGTGGCATTGGAATTAGGTTGAGTGAAGTTGGAGCCAATGAAGTGGTGAGTTGGCGTCACGGTGCTCAGTCAGCTGATCAGCTGACTAGGTGTCCAGCCAATGGCCGTCAGGCACTCACTGATAACCTGGCAGCACATACATCAGCTGTTGTGAGGTCTCCAATAGCTTCTGGGAACTGGGGCGTAGGTGACCACAAATGACTTCACACCTCTACACTTCAGTGCGTCCCAGCGTTAAAGTCACTCATTAACGTGAGCCGCTGCGAGTTTATGGCGTATAGGTGTTTTATTTTTTGTTGTTTTTATTGAATTGGATGGAGATTTTCATACTTTTTTGACACAAAACACACTCTTTAGTTACAACCAATCTTAAGCTTACTATTCCGCTAGTTATTGATTCTAGTTGATGGCTTGAAGTTTGTTAGATGTGTTATTAGTGATTATATGTAATATTCAGTTATGCAGATACAATAGAAATGATTCACTGTCAACCAACGATAAAAGTTAACATTTATGGTTATTAATACTAATTGATAAAGAATTTATCAGATTTATTCCTTATCGGATTGTCGTTAATGGTCCATATTCCATTCCACATATCACCTTGAAATCACCTCCATCCATTTAGTAAGTATATTTTCTCATAATACTTTAAATTCCACCTCCTCATTCCATCCGCCAAACGGTTCCCTGTTACTGAGCGTGCAAACTCTAGAAGAGCGTACATAATACCATAGATTAAAAGAAGTAGACATAATACTGTCATAATACTGTCTATACTCTTTTTATCTATGATAATACCTGACACCTGATAATACAACATTTACCGTATAGTTATAGTTTGTAACACCGTCCGTATTCAACTTTGACAACCATATCTTATTCAATCCACCATATCCCCCCTCGTTATGGACATACGTACACACTCCCAGAAAACACCACACAGTACTTTTAATAGTGATATTACAAAACGCTATGAGACAGTAAACTCAGGATACCTTTGGCAAATTCTACCCACCACATCCGCACTTTTTCCGAACATACACTTAATCACAACAGCTCAAATTCCATCCATTTTCAAACTTTGAAACGCCTTCCAACAACCTTCACAAGTATAACTCCCACACCTTTTCTACAATACACTCCAGAACACCTTCCAACAACCACCTTCACAAGTAGAACTCACTCCCACACCTTTTCTACAATACACTCCAGAACACCTTCCAACAACAACCTTCACAAGTAGAACTCACTCCCACACCTTTTCTACAATACACTCCAGAACACCTTCCAAGAACCCAACGTAAAGCTCCCACGTTCATTAATTAGAATCGTGTATGATGCAGATGCAATTTCCACCTCCCCAGTGGAGGGTGTCGGGCCACAATTATCACCTGGAGATCGGCGCTACAAAGAGCGTCCACGGGCCACCTGGGAGCAGTGACGTCACAAGCTGTCGGTGGTCGGTGGTCGGAGAACTGGTTGTCTAGCCTCACTGCCTCAGTCGCTCAGTGTGGCTACGGCGACGACTCGGACCGCGAGTGTGTGCTAGTGTGTGCCATGGACTTTCCATGAGACATCACATTTGGTAAGTGTTACTTTGTGTTATTGTTGTAGATGTTACGTAGAGTAGTTATTCAAAAGTTGGGAAGGTTTGCAACCACGGTAGTGAGACCACACAGGATGCTCTGGAACTTGTTTTGTACAAAGTGACGAGTTCAGTTTTAGACTGTTATCGTAAGATTTGTATTTTTCTAGGATTGCGTAGTGTGTTTTACCTCATAGTACGTTCGAAATACAAAGTATAAGTTTTCATAAGATTAATAGAACTCAAACTTATTTGATTACTGTTTGGACTTGATTAAGACCGTGAACAAGCGAAGATTTTCTTACAATTTTCGAGTTTTGTCTTCAGATTTGTTTTCTAGTATGGTGACCTATGTTTTATCACGTGTTAAACTTGAAATAAATAGTTAAAATTTCAATTGACTCATTAAAAAGGTCAAACGTAGTAGGTTATTGTTTGAACTAATTTAGGAACCTGGAAAGATGCTATATTTGTGTTTTAGTCTGTTTGTATACGACTTTTTATTTCAAGGATTGTATTTTATGCTATTCCATACGTTACACTTTAAATATAAAGTAGTGTTTTCAATGAGCTAATTTAGTTTAACCTTGTTGGGTTATTGTTCAACATGTTTTGGGCACTGAAAAGTGATGAGTTACTTTGGAGTTTCATTTGTTTTTCGAAAATATATATATTTAGAGGACAGTGACGTATCTTTAAGGGAAAGTTACATGGTAAATACATACTATATTTCAGAGAGATAGACGAGAGAACTTACACCTCAGATAGTTTGAACTTATTTGAGTTACCGTTACATACGTTTTTAGATTCTATTACTATATGTATTTTTCTACCCTATACCCTAGAAATATAAGGTTAAGCCATTTGGCCATACATATTAAGAGACGAACTATCATGCCCCGTAGATTTTGCTTTGATGCAGTTTGATTAAAAATATGATCAGAGTTTATAGTCAATGGCTGTCTGGATAGTGTTAGCAGACCATATTGTATTTTGATGTACTAAAACTTGAAACAAACATTCCTGCAGTTTCGATAGTAGAATATTACGAAAACACCTGGTTAAACTTGTTTTGAATATTGTTGGTGGGTCAATTAAATTGAGTTATAGATTGTGTTAGGCTACCTAAATTATTTCTGAAATTTCTAAATGAAAACCTAAGCAGTGTACGAGATGTAAAAATGTGAAGCATCACACTAGTAGAAATGATCATCCTTTTAAGAAATAATAAAATGCTGTGAAATCAGGTACATTATGTTGTACTTTTAAAATGTATGCATACGTCTATGCATACGCCTGTTTAAGATTAAATCTAATGAATAAGGCGAATACACATATAAGACTCCGAGTTTTAAATAAAAATACAGGGTGGTAAAAAAGTCCCAGGATAGTTAAATATTTTAAAAAATAATGCAGATAGAGCTACAATACTTGGTACAATGTTACAGGGCATAAAACTCTATTTTAACACAAATTCAGTGATCCAATAACTCTTCAGGGGGATGGCCTACAAGGAGTCGGAAGAAAATCTTAAATAGAAGCATAGGTCAATATGCACATCAAATTAAAGGTATTTTTTAGTAGAATACAATGCCGGAAACCGCACTTCAAAAGGTTGATCCTGCGCAAAATGGCAGATGTTCAAAAAATTCTTGAATTATTTTTTAAAATATTTAACTGTCCTGGGACTTTTTTACCACCCTGTATAAGTAAATTTGAGTATAACCATTGACTATTGGATACTGAAGTTGTATTGATAGTCAAACGTATAACCGAGTACTTATTATATGGAACTAACAAATACAATATAAATAATAACTAAAGCAATGCATATATTTAGCACTTACGGTACATCCTCTTAGTTGCTCATTTATTATACATATCCTGCTGTGCGGTCTCTCTTGTTCAATAAACACCGAGACAAATTTAAAATTAAACGATACGGAAAAAGAATGTCGAGAATTCAAAACGCCAAAACCTCACACTTTAAAACCTGAAGAGTAAGGACCTCCCAAAAAACTCTTGGCACTAACGAATAATAAACAAAATATGAAAATGACATTCATTCCTAATTTAAATTCAACTGTGGCTGCTACCTGCTTAATGAGGTTATTATAGAGTCCATATTATCAGGTGCAGTGGTGATAAGAAGTAAAAGGTGACATGTTGTGGTGGTGGTCCCCCGCGGTGCGAAGCGGGTCCTGCGTTCTGTGACCTGGACATAGCAAATTAGATTGTTTAAGGACCCTTTGGAAAACATTGGCAATCCTTATACACGGTTTACTTGACACATTTCAGTAAGGGGTTGGCTTGTTATTGTATCGAGGTTTTTACGACTTACAGTAATTAACAATTAAGATTGAAGTGCAATTGAGCGATTTGAAACTATGAGTGTGGAATGGAGTGAGATGCCGCGTGTATCTTTATTTCTCACTGATTAATTGACATATTTTAGCGTCTTGAATGACCCAGCTTACGAACAATCACTGTACCAAATATATCTATTCCTTGTCCGAATTGAGATGTCGAAAAGCAATAAGTTAGTCATTGTGTAGTACAAGATTCAAGGTTTTGTTATATATTGAAATTTCCTTTCTTACACTAATTATTAAATAATAAACTAAATGGGTATCTTACTTTAAGTATAACCATTATACCCCCATAAAATATTACAGTTTGTAATATGAAAAGAGAAAATAGATTATCAATGTAACAGACTTTAACAGTCAATGTTATGTATATTTTGATTATATTGTTGACGGTAGTACACAGTCAATGTGTATATGTTTCTATAAAAAATCAATAGCATAACTAGACTTGGTATGAATTTGATCTAAATCTTGTTTTGGTTTTCTATATTAATTGAAGTGATCGCCTGGTCCGGTTAGACTTGGGAAAAGTAAGAATCTTTTATGAGCTCGAAACTTGACCCAGCTGTTCTTGATTACCAGGATTTTAATTTATGGTCCTTGGTCCTCACTAAGAAGCATCTGATCCTCCCTATCACCCACTCCCTTCTACACTCATCCTGCACAAGTTTTCATCGCCGTATCAAAGAATTGAGTCACAACAAGGCTCTAATATTTTATTTTGGACAATATTTAATCAATCCAGTAGCTAGGCCCAAAACACAAATTGTACCTACCAGAGTAGGTGGGGGGAGTGACTTGAATAATGATTCAAAACAAATTTACCCACTGCCTAATGTATAATCACAGAGTCAGTGTTCAGTTTCGCCGAGTTTGGTAATTATAGGCAAGTGAAAAACTGGAATCAAGCGATTTCGATTACAATCGGCGGCCGTAATAAGCGGGTCTTCACACCCACACTTCATAGTAACTATATCATCGCTCTTATCAGAAGTGAATCACAGTTTAGGCCAATTTAAACATTAACGCGCCTACCACTTAGGCGAAATTAGGACAGTAATTATCTTAAGATAAACTCGGTTCGTTATCTTACGCCGTATTAGCGCCGCCATTAAGCTAAATGCAGTCGATGCAGTGCGTTGCATATGCATCGTTCATGCTTCTACTTAATGACTCAATTCATTTGTTCCCAGTTACCGGAGCTGTTCGCCTTGGATTTAGACAATAAAGTCCCACCCCCGAGTCCGACGTATCCTGGAGGTCCGCGTGGGAATTATTGGGCATTGTTCCACGCGAATTGTTCTTTCTGGTTATAAAAGTTAGCATGTCGATAGGAATTAGTCATAGATTATTACTACACCGTTATAAGCCGCCTACTCGATGGATAATCTACTTGCCTAGGTTGCGATTATGGACAGAATTTGGAAATCTTGGGCGTATTGGTTGGATACCTTGTACCGTGTGTTATGAAATTTAGGTTTAAAAACATAGACAACTGAATATTCACTGATCTAATTCGTGTACACAACATGTATGGCAGACATGCATTTACAAATATTTGAAACAAAACCGTGCTTACATCAGATAGGCAATCCTTACAAACGACAGAATTAATATTTTGAAAGAGTAGTCACAGTTGTGGGGGTCAATAACGTAAATACACCTACCTTACTGATTTTTAAATGCAACTGGCTAATCACAAGCTGCGAATCATCAACGGAAAACATCTACAACAGAAGAGAAGTATAATTCTACTTGCTTTATCCAAAGTCAATGATTAATTAATCTACCTTCCACTCCCTCCAAATTACCACCCCGTTGTATTTCCCTCTAAAAACGTCTCTGGTAAGATTGATGGGCAAAGCGCCAGTTCTCCTTGTTCTTATTGCATAAATTGAATTCAATTACAATAATTATTCAATTCTGTTAATTAACAAGTTGCATAAAACATATTGCGCCACAAAAACACAGTTGTGATCAGGTTAGCGCAATCAGGTCTGTGATTGGCGAATGCATTACTGAGCAGTCGGGTCGGGTTTTGTATAAGATGAAAAATTAACCACCTACCAGCATTCCGGAGTGAAAAATTAGCTGGATTAATTTATGCATAAGCTTGGTACATAATTGATAACTTTATAAACTGTTTATTGCCATAGGTTGAGATAATTGACTTTAAATAGTACAGGTGAACTGCACATCCTACTGCAAATCCTGAATCATATTCAGATTGGTTCAGATGTTCAGATTCAGTGTGTTGGTAACTTTCGAGTACTGGTGGTAACGTCATCCAGTTTCAAGGTAGATTTGTTTACGGGTGTTAATAATAGTGAAGGAAAAACGATTTTTCAAATCATTGCCGTCTTATTTGGTTAAATAGTTTTTAAGCTGGTAAAATAACAAGAAAAAAAGTAAACTATAGATTCTTCGGAACAAAAACCAAAATTATACCTTCAGCTGATTCAAAAGGGTGATACATCAATGAGAAAGTATTGTAGGCACCTTTGACCATACACATGTTTTATCTATGGTTTAACCTAAGATAAATGGCACTTTTTTATCCCACCACTTTATTAAAGCGTTTTATTGACTAAAACTACTGTAATTAACCTAGATTGTTAGTTTTAAGGTTTT